ATATGTCTAATATGTTTCAACCAATCAGAAGATATCAACTGAGACCCCGGAAACCGGTTCATTGTTACGATCCGTGGCTCGGCTGCTCCACCCACCGTATGACGTATATGCAAATTTAAGAATTTTTCATCGGAATCGCAACAGACTGCAAGCAAGTCTAAGTGTCACGCAGTGATTTTGTAAGGACGCACACCAAAGGAGATTTTGATGAAACGAAAGAAACTTATGGTGATGATGCCCCATCATATGACCTTGTAAAACGCTGTCATCGTGAATTCAAACATGGCCGGAAGTCTGTTGAAACAGCTCCCAGACCTGGTCGTCACTGCCATTGATGAGGCATCTGTCCGTCAAGTTGAGGCAGCCATTTTGGAAGATCGACGCATTACTGTTCGCCAAATAGCCCAAGAGGTCAGGATTAGTACAGGGTCTGTCATTCATGACCATTTGCATATGCATAAGGTGTCTATCAGATGGCCCAGGTTGCTCACACATTTCCGGAAGAAAGAACGCATCAAGTGCTCGAGGATGAATTTGAAAATGTGCCAAGAAGATGAGTCAAAGTTTTTCAAAAGACTGATTACACAGGATGAAACTTGGGTCCATCACTATGATCCAGAGACCAAGCTCACTCAATGCAGTGAAAGTACTTGGACTCACCACCTCCAAAGAAGGCAAGGGTGCATCCCTCCGTTGGCAAGGTCATGCTCACAGTCTTCTGGGACCAGGACAGAGTAGCGATGACAGATTTCCTGGCAAAAGGTACCACAATTACAGGAGCCTATTACGACATTAAGAGAAGCTATCAAAATCAAGAGGCGGGGCAAGATCAGCAAAGGTATCCTCCTCCTGCAGGACAACGTGCCGGTCCACAACTTGCATGTCGCCAGATCATAAGCACGGGCGTGTGGCTATGAAATCCTTCCCCATCCCACTTACTCTCCTGACCTTGCACCCTCTGACATTCATCTCGTCCCAGCCATGAAGTAGTTTTTGAAAGCAAAACGTTTCCCAGATGATGCACCCTTGATTCCTGAAGTTACGACGTGGTTGGATCACCAACCTGGGCTGTTCTACAAAAATGGTGTTCGGAGCTGCATCAAACGATGGGAGAAATGCATAACTCTGGGTGGTTCCTATGCAGAGAAAGACTAATAACTGTGCCAAGTTTCATTAATCTTCTGCTATGGGAAATAGGTCAGGGAATTACTTATTGAACGCCCCTCGTAGGTATAAGTGGAAATCACACATACTTCCAATTCCCTTATTTTTGATATATGTTTGGTATGTGTGTATTATACCAAACCAATCAGTATCACGACATATTAGTATAGTGAACGTGCTTAAATGTTTTACTTTTTTATATGAAACTAAGAATATCATGGAATAGAATAATTGATCCTTCCAAACAGATTGACCTTATTACACAATGGCTGACTATTGGTAAATACCCCCCAAGATATTGGTTGCTTAATTTATTATTAACAATTATATTAATGCATTTCTGTTGGCTAGAATACATGTGTGATACTAAGTCGCATATATGTATGACGTCATTACAGTTTTTACCAACCTTAACTTGGATTAAAATATTTTGTTAGACAATAATGTTGTTTACTATCTTATTCTATTGATTATGAATCCATATGTTTATCATATTTTTTTTAAACATAAATTAGATGTAAAACTTAGATTTTATACTAATTTGTTTCTCTATTTTGAAATTTGATTTGTTTGTGATACTGGAAATCTAGTACCATTATAATGTACATCTATTTAAGTACTGAACAGAAATATAATCAGTGATTGGAACTAATTAAAGATATGAACTTTGCCAACGGACTGTTGTTTTTATTATGCATGATAACTTTGGCGCCTCACATAATATCCTGGCGGTGTTTTATATGAGTAGTCTTCCATATAGTAAACAATTAATCAAGTATATAATGGCGTGTTAAATACTTTGTGTGTGATTGGCTAAATTTCCGTGTAGTAGATTATGATTTGAAAGAGGAATAAAGTCAGTCTTCGAGAGAGTCTTCACGAGAAGCTGAGACGAGCTTTGACACGATGCCATATGTGTATGTTTTTGCTTGGCTGAAAGTTTTGTGAACGAGACGATCCCGAATACCTGATGCAACGTTTAATAAGACGAGAATTAAACCGTTATACTAATCTAATTGATTGTTGATAATAGTTCTGGGATCATTTGACTATATCATCGAATCCTCGTTATCAACAATAGATATTTCATACTATTTTATACTCCCATTCATAACCCTTTTAATAATGCGCCTGTAGAAATGCGTTTGGTCTGAGATTGGTTTTATTGTAAAAAAATCATCAGTGAATTATATACTGATAAGTTTTTCATAATTATAATTATCTTAATCTCGTGATGATATCATTTTGTCAGTTGTTTTAACATTTCGTCGGCCAATGGACATCCTATGACTGAATAATGTATAATTATTGATGAAGCGTGTCACCTCGATCACTGCATAGTTTTAATCAGTACCACAACGCTATCATAGTTCAGCAAATTGTTTTCGTGAAAACGTTTAGGTTACTTATTTTTTCACATTGGAGATATTTTACTATCTAGAACACCGATACAGAGCCATTCAGCTTATTTGTATTTCGTCATCACATATTGAAACTGATTTACAACAAGAAACATGTTTGTGATTAATATAATATTTACTTTAAATTTGATCAGCACATTAATAACACATGTAAACAAGTAGGTAAACAACTAACGGTATTAACAGTTACTGAAATAGAAAAATTCTAATTGCACAGGGATAATTGAAATATTTTAAACTCTTTCCACTCTGATAATCAGTTCCACCTGTCCACCTGCCTGCGTACCCTGAACAGAAAAACACATTGCATAGAAACAGTATTAGCACAGCATGACATAGAGATTCCTGCCCTCTCTGATCAATATGACACACAGCACAGAATATAAATGCCACTAAAACGCATGGTACAAAGATTGCCTGCTAACTCGAATCATCAATATCACCAAGACACACAACACAGAGACTGCCTGTCCATTCTGAACACTAAGACATTCTGCACAAAGACATTTACAATGTTTGAGACAAACGAACGTACACAGGCAAAAACAACATAACCTCCCTGGCTGAGTAACAAGCATGCACACATTCTGCCATGTTTCAATATAGTATCAGGAACTGGGCATTTTGTAAATTATAACATATATAAACCCGTTTACACATGTATATTTATGTATATATTTGGTTTGTAGAAAATACGATCATGTTTTAACACGCCCTTTTCCAGTGCATACAATTGAACGACGTTCTGTCTGAGTTGTGACCCGATCTGTGACTAACTTAGCCAAGCATAGCTAGAAAGAAGCCCTGGCTTGGACCCGTGCTCGAGAGTCTGCATAATAAACATAAATTAGTATTTAAATAACTGACTCCCCACGCACAAAAGGTCGCTGGGGTGTCTGTATTGAAATCATATACAATAGGTGTGTATTGTACACATTTCAGTCAGCTCTAAAGTTTGAAGCTAAAGCTTGTAAGTTGTATAACACGATTGTGGAAACCTACCAAGATGGCGCAGGTAAGTTGTGACTTTTGATTTACTGGAGAGGAGAGTACCAGTGTGAGTCTAGCATTGAAGACGTAGCATTTCAATGTGTGTAAACACAGGACTTTGGTGGGGGTACTATGTCTTTAATCAGTTGGTAGCTGAGACGTCACATAAGATAACAAAAAGAACCACATTTTGTACAGTAAAAATTGAAAATAGACATTTGCTAACCTGATAATAGTGGGAACATGGCCGTCTTTTCTTGAAACCAGGTAGGAAAATGTGTGATGATCGTATCATCTGAACAAAAGATCTCAGAACAACAAGTAGCCACTCAAAATATTTGTAATAATAATAATATTAATAATAATATATACATTATCGATTACAAAATCCTATAAATGTATAGTCAATAAAGGTCAAATGTCAGGAAGATTTTTGTCTGTTAAATTGAGCTGGTATAGGCCAAACCTTTCAACTTTCACCTTTCACATATTAATGCAAGAAAGGGTTTGGCAGTGAAATATCTTATTGTTTTGGAATTTTCTTCTGAACCAAACACGTCGAGGGCGTTTGTACAGAATGAGAACACTGCAGATCATTGAATTCCTTGACTAAAGTTAGCATATTTTTTATTTAAAAGTAAGTGGAAAGGGATTGTTTTGATTTTGAGAACACTGGTACGGCTATCCTATATTAGCCACACCTCAGATCTGTTATACAGTAATTTTAAAATCTTCACTAAAACGCTTGCATTGTAACTGTGTGCGACTCAGCCAACTCTATCCTGACCATTGTTAATTGCACCTTCTCATCACCTGTCTCTGTTACTCATGCATTAGGCAAGGTTGTTCAATGTCAACTACCATTTACGAAATAAAATTATGAGTGATGATGATTTTGATATATTAGTCATATGCAACAGCTAAAAAATAAACACTCGAAACTCTAAACACTGCAAACAGGATGTCAGTTCACTTGTTGGATGGCTACATGTTTATTAACATGTATCAAACCCCCAAATCAACCCTCAATCAAAGAAAGCTTAGAAAGAACTCCCGTGTGCTGAGAGTATTAGAGGCACATTAAAATTAATTCAAAATTTAGGATTGGCTTATCAAACAGACCATCTATTTACCAAGTTTCATTGAAAAGTTATTAGAACTTAAAAATTATGAATCATTATGTAAATTAGGTCATTAATATGGATGTATTTTTACCCAAAATTAATCAAATCTGAGCACACACACACACTGGAAAAGAGTGGACAAAAACGTTATGCACTTTTCAATGCAAATCATTACCATGATATAGAAACAATGACCGTCCCCGTTTTACTGTTTTTTTAATCAAGAAAGTAATTTGCCCCGTGTAAACAGATTCAATGTACTATGATGAAATTGTTTTTGCGTATCTGTTGACTGACTTAGCTGATTACTAGCGAATTGCTGTGTTATGTCTGTCATCGTTTCGGCCCATTTGAGGTTCTGGACGGAACTTGGCTCAGTGATTTGGAACTAATTACGAGATAACCGTCGCTATTCGGACTACTATTTCTGACAGTTAGTATTCACAGTTATTAATGTAATGAACGATTAATCAAAAGATATGACGTGTTCAGTACTTAGTGTGATTGGCTTTATGATTGAAGGTTACGCACTAGAGTCTTTTTACTGCTTTGTAATTGGTTAAGGTTTTGAAAATGAATAAAGTTGTTTTAGTTGGTTTTGGCGTGCACACGAAGACAGACGCTGTCTAGAGAGAGTCTTGGGGCGAGTCTTGACGCAGTCTTGGGGCGAGTTTTGAGGCAGTCCAGTCTTGGGCTAGTCTTGGGTCAGTCTTGCGATAGTCTTGGGGACTTTTCCCCAGGGCGCTGTGTCTTATAGAGTGCTCGACTGACCGACTAAGACGAGAGTTGAAACGTATTTTGTTGTGTTTGTCTTATTTGACTGTAAAGCTTAAGTGACTTTCCCGATCCCGTACCTCAAGGCGACGAGATGTGGAGAGACGAGACGAGATTCCCCCCTGACACGAGTGGAGAACCCAGAAAAGAAGATTTTTCCCCGTGATAGTACCACTATAAGTGCACATCCACTTTGAGCATATTCTTCACAAGTTATTTCTTCTTCTTCTTCTTACTTAAGGGAGATATAATCCGTCACAATCCAGTAAGCGCTACCTTTTCATTAAATAGTATCTTCAGTATTAAGTCTATCAATTATAAAAGGATATATTACAAATCTATCACACCATAGCTTTGAATCGAACTTCTCTGAAACCAAACTTACCACTTTATAAATTTAAAAAAAGGTGCAATCTGTAAATATCTGATTCGTGTCATTTTTATGAGCCATCATCCACAAGAACTGGACCCTTTCTGGCGTTTGCCTGAAAATGCTAAACCTTTTCAGAATTGTTCTAAAGCACCAGATGGGGACCTGCAATGACGCATATATCATTGTGCCTTTGTAACTGGATTATGACAAGTGACCTTTCTGTGATGAGGTCGACACACTACAACATTTTGTCATTGTTCATCAAATAACAAGATGCCATCACGTCTCATCACTTTTGTATTCTTATATGGTGGTTCATAATCTTACCTCACCATCACTCAAAACAGTTATGCATGGCTAAAGTGGCAAAACAAATATTCTAGTGACCCTGTGGAAATGGTTATTAGCCAAGGATTGAAACTGATTAAGAATAGTATGAGCCAATTGCCTAACTTTAAGAATACGGGGATGAGGGAGAAAGCACTGTGTCGCATAATACATAACACGCTTCACATGTGTCTATGAATATGTAAAATGTTCTTCCCTTAGTCACGAAATCTTTCACAATAAACAGAATCATTTGATTTGAAGAAACAATTCTCTTGGCAAATATTGTAATTACTGACTCTTATGTGCAAGAGTTAAGAACACGAACAGGAGCCACCAGTTGTGTTTTCTTATCGGGTTATCTTTACACACCTATTTGTTTTATATTACTTGTTCTGTGTTTTAAATGTTTTAATTTTCTTTTGGAATGTTGCAGTGGGTGGTACCCCGTTAAGTTTGAATCGGTGTCATCGGCCTGCCTACGGAGTTTCAAGGTGTTTTAATACTGTCACATGATCGTCTTTGATTATTTTACCTGTAAACCAAAAAGCACAATACAATGCAATGTATAATGTTTGGCCAGTGACATATTCACAATATTATTATTTTAAATTATTGGTGGCTGTCTAAATAAAACTTTTAAGTCAATTTGGGGTATATTTTAGCCTTAATATAACAAATCCTAGTTACAGGCAGTTGGCCAAATAGTTTTTACATCAATTTTGAAAAAAAATGATATTTAAGATAAGTTAAGATCTCCGTATAAGTTTATGTATAATGATTAAATAACTGCCGGTGGAAAATAGTCAGGGCCTTAATAAAAACGGACCTTAAGATAAACTTTTTTCACGCAAGTCATACATATTTGTTTTTATTATTTTAATATCTTGTCATGAATCTTCCAGGGATGTCAGGAGGTGTCAATTTCTACTGTGAATACATCACCAAATTTTGCATTTATACATCAGCTATCTGAAAAATGTATGAGTTGTATGAGTGTCCATGTCAACACACGTGTTGTAATTAACACAGACAAAAACATAACATCGGGACATAGCTTTTGTTTTTGACCAGTTATTGTATTATTTATTGATTGTGCGTTCATACAAACAACAAAACTAATACGCCCTCTTCTGTTTCAGAGTGATGACCAAAAGAAGTCTGACATTCGTTGGCGCAAAACCAATCTAATACGTGCCTTTTTGGTAATTGTTTCCATTTTAGCAGTTGTGATGGCATTAGTCATCATTGGTGAGTTATATTTATAGTAATTCGTTACCATCACAGCATGATAATGATCATAGATCACTTTGTTGAGTTGTTCTTCTGATAATGTATTCTACATGTCTTTTTTTTACATTCCAAGATACAATAAACTATTCATGTTTTTTAATATTTCACAGATATCATGAATAGACTAATGAGAACATGTCTAACATGTGGATCATCTAAAATGATTTTTCAGTGAGGAAAAATGAGTTTGCGCATGATGTTTAGGAAGATTAGTTTACTAACTTAGAGTTACATTTGTCTCCTTTCCATGAGCAATATTTCTCGTTCCAATTAATTCATATTGACAGAGTTGAAGTTCACCCACCCTGAACCAAGCCAACAAGGACCAAAAACAAATAAGACCGGTATGTAGAAAAAACTAGACAATCCTGTATAATAATGTAATTTAAATAAAATTAATCATTGTACCAACCTAACAATACCTTCAATTAGGTAGTCGATCATGTCAACACTGACAGTGTTGGTAGGGTAGCTGCACCAAAAGTCTACACACATATACTGAAAGCTTTGTGACAATAAACAAATGTTGATCTTTCTCAATTGCAATAAATAGCATAAAACTATACATAATAACAAATATATAATTCGAGAATCATAGATTTAATTTATAAAATACGACATATCTCGACCTGGGCAAATTACAATCACAGACTTACACAATAATAATAAACACGAGAATGCTGTACCACAGGGTGTGCTCTGAAATAGGGTTCACATGTCAAGCATGACTTGTTTGGCCTCAATGTAACTACACCATACATGTTAAATGTTAAATTTTGTCCGATGTTAAATTTAAATACAAAATATGAAACTCACAATGACGTAACATCCCACACCAGGGCATATCCTCACAATATACTACGTATATGTAGTTACACGTTTAAATTTATTCATTTGTTTTATCAGTGTGCAAGAGTCGACCACCGCACATTGTTCTCGTAATAGCAGATGATCTAGGGTGGAATGACGTAGAATGGAACAACGTAGATATCAAAATGCCGGTCCTCAATCAACTCGCCGCTGATGGCGTCATATTCAACAACACATATGTCCAACCACTCTGTACACCGTAAGTGATAACATAATTACTGTGAATGCAGTGAGTGCAGTGACTTTTCAGGTGTGTGTCTAATTTTGTTTACTTGATTTACCTCCTGAGCCAGAACTAAAATGTCATTGTATGCAATATAGATGTGAATCGTTCTATTATAAAACATGTACATTTCATTCTTTAGATCACGATCTGCTCTAATGACTGGCTATTATCCATTTAAAACAGGAAATCAGGTATTGGCATTATATGGATAGCTTAGATACTTGTATATATTTCGCGTTATCAAATTTACTGTTTGTCGTCAGTGTAACTTTAAACTACAATGAACAATATGTGCAATCTACGAGTTGCATTGTTGCATTTTGTCTAGAATGACATCAAAGAAAATTTACCAGCAAATGAAGGAATGTTTCCACATTATATTGATATTGAATTGTTACACGGATTATTTTTAATATATTTAAATTTTAATCAGTGTTTTTGTTTTCATTTTTATAAAAAGCATCAATTTCTCTTCAATCTGCATCCTGCTGGATTGCCATTAGAGTATAAGATTTTACCGGAAAGACTTAAAGATGTTGGGTATCTTACTCATGCTATCGGGAAGTAAGTGGACTACAACAAAGGAAACAATATAACCATGTATTGTTTTATGATACAAATGACATATTTAGTCACACAAATGTTTTTAAAACCTACCAGGATATGTACAAGATGTTTGTCTTAAAACCATAAACAAAGTCTTGCAAGACTGCCTTTCCAATGACAATCATAATATCACATCTTATTGGATTTATCATTTTTTTCAAACAGCTAAGTCAATTTGAGCATTTGGTAAGAACAGAATTGCTTAAAATCTAAATACTGTATATTCTCCAATATGTGCGTTGATCGCAATCGTCTGATCAGACAAAAACAGTTCAAGCTTCAGAAAAATCTTAATTTCGAATGAGCTACACAAATGTATAGTAATATTGCCACACATATACTAAATCAGCCGAATTTATCAGTTTTAAAAAAATTGAAAAAAAAATTAAAACAAAACTATTGACAATCTTGACATGTTAAAATATTTTGGGCATATTTCAATATTTCAGTTGAACAGACAATAATTTGATGTGAGATGTTAATTGGCCTTAATTGTTTTGCCTAACACGAACACATAACACAAAATAGTAAATAGTAAGTTAGCGTTATTTATTTGACCATCATTAATCTTGATACAACATTGAAATATTTTGGCCAATTTCAATACAATAAGCTGTGATTTAAAAGCATTGAATTTGTAAAGCAATATTGGCGCTTCACACAATTTAGGAGAAAATCATTTTCATCTCCTCAATAAATACACCAAATTATCCTATAACATTTTATATTCGTTATATTATTTGACCATGTCCTGGCCTTGAGATTGTTGTGCCAATATCTTAACATGTGTGTAGACAATGCAAAACACCCCATTAAGCTAATATTTGGGCTTAACACAACAAAGCTATTATGCCATTTGACTCACTATGTGAGGTTATAGGATATTTAGGAAAGAACACAAACCTCAGAAATTTCGATGTGCGTGACTGCTACTATGATACTCAGTATCGGTTACGTACAAAGAACGTCCTAGATAACGACCCAATCAAGCAGATGTGGTTTTTATTTGTAGATGGCATTTAGGATTTTGTAAGGAAGATTATCTACCAACTAAACGCGGCTTTGATTCGCACTATGGTCCATGGACGGGAAGTTTTAGTTCGCACTATACTAAAATGACCCAAGAAGGTTGTAAGTACAATAAAGTATGAGTAAATAAAGCAATATTTAGATTTTGTTTATATAGGGCTGAAAGTACTGACAACAAAACATTTGTCAGGGATTTCAGCATACAGATTATGTTTTGTGTGTGCAAATAGTGGAGGAAAGTGTAGTAAATGTACAATCTACACAAAAACAATGTTGACATTACACATATAGATATAAATTTGTACGACGATCGGAAACCAAAAAATGTTCTGTGTTTGTTAATTTACAGTTTTTTCTCACTAAATTCTAGCAAAATACGCCAATTTTGTAACTATACCCTATCAAACTCTAGCAAGAATATGTATGTTTTTCGCAATATATTATATATTCTTTTCAGAAAATGTACTAAATGACATATTATATATATATGATTACTTTCTTGCTAGATTCTTACAATATTTCAACATCTAGAATCAGTTAACACATCCTTGAAATGTTTATTTTATCTAGATGATTTCCGTGACAACATGGGCGTGGTGCAACAAAGTAATACATATCTCACTGTGAGTATAATTAATAGTATAATTCTAGGAGCATTTTGTAGCAATTTTGGACATTGTGAGAATCTAAGATTGATACTATAGTATATATCTAATACACAAGAAACAATTTCACTCCTTAGTATACTATTGATATGTGATTTTGAAGAACATTGTGTAATATTAAATCGCCATATTGTATATATGTTTTTCACTACAGTACATGCTTACTGAAAGAGCAGTTGATCTAATAATGGGACATTACGTTGAATATCCATTGTATCTTCAGTATAATATTGACTTACCTGCAAAGTTTCCTGAGGTAAATCACTACTAATTTGTGCAAACACCACTTATGATAATCTTATTTGTGCAGCGATTGTAAGTGTATACTGACACTTCAGAGTGTGAAATTGTTTTTTTTTTCTCTAGGTACCACCTGAGTACGAAGCGTTGTATTCCAATATTACTGATAACCGAACCAGGGCATTTTATGGTATGTAGATATGTTTCCACCTATACATAGATTTCTAAGGACACTACACCTCGGGACATTGACCTTATTACCACCATTTTCGTATCATTCCAGAAATAAATAGTTTGGAAAGCATAAGTTTTGCTGATATAATTAAAACAACTCTTGGAATTATGACACATTGCATAGTATTTAAAAGATCGACTACTTATGAACAAATTCTCGTCTACATCCATCAAAGCAGCTACACATAAAAAAAAAACGGTTCAGTATTTTTTGAAAAGAAGTCGCCCATATCCATCCAACCAGCATCATAACTCAGCGAACCTTCGTTTCGTTGAGCTCAAATGGAAAGTAAAACTATACTGGCCCACTAGCTAACTTATTTAAATTACATTGAGCGACACAAAAAAGGGCAGACGCCCACAAATAAACACAATCCCGCAATGAAAATGAAATGTTCCCATAGCTGTGCAAAACTGCAAAACATATTAGTTTCTTACTTTTTTCAGGAAAAATGTCTCTGATTGATGATTCAGTTAATAGTGTGGTGGAGGCGTTAAAAACTAGAGGATTGTGGGACGACACGCTATTCATTTTTATTAGTGACGTAAGCGACCAAATTTATTTAAATATATTTTGTCATTGACAATTTATGATCGATAATATCTGTGGTTTTTATTCTTGCATAGCAATGATAACACTGCTTAATTTATTGGCTTGATTTATTCACACAGAATGGAGCGGCAGCATCACAAGCTGGATCAAATTGGCCATTCCGA